AGAGAATGGTCCCAAAGGAAAATTCCAGGTATGGAATATCATGAGAATGGGTCCTGAGAATGGATCCTGTCTGTGAACCCAGAATATGCAGAAAACAATCTTCTCAAATATTCTGCTCTTCTCTATATCCCTTTTTTTTCAATTATCTTGCATGCCTTTAAACCCAGTGCAAAGTGCTCACCCCCCCCCCCCCCTCCAGTTGAGATATAGAAGGAGAAGGGTTTTCACCATTTCTGGGCATCTCAGTCTTCAGCTTCCCAACCCTTTCCTTCCTTTCAGTTCAGTTGAAGTTTCTATAGTCTTCACCCATGGTCTTAAGTCTTCTGCTTTCAATCCTGAGTACCTGAGGACAAGAACCTGAGCACGCACATAGCACTTTCAGAATATTCCAACCCTTTTGCCTCATTATTTTATGTGTCCATCCTAAGGGAATTATCAGAAATGGAGACAAATAGACAAATAGACAAATACTTATTTTTTAAAAAAATAAGTAGAGGAGTCAATTTGTGACAAAAATCTCATCATATGTTCCTAAGTTACATTTTAATATTTGTTAGTTATTATCATAGGTTTTTGCAATTTCTGTAAACCATTATCATGAATGAAGGATAATTTTTGTTCATTTTTGGGCTGCACCTGGTGGTACTCTGGGTTTACTCCTGACTTTTCACTCAGGGAAGTGATGGGAAAAACATATGCAATGCAGGGGAAGGCAAGCTGGCAGGCATTCTACCCATTTTACTCTCTTCTGTCTCAGTTTTTATCATCCTAGAAAGAAGAGAGAAAACATATTTTTAGCTTAACCAGGACTTATTTTTACATACTTGTACATATTTGAATAATCTAATATTATTTCCATCATAATTAAATAATCATATGACAGAGAAAATAAACCTTTCCTCACTAATATCTTTCATACTTCTAATTTCCTTCTTTTCTCATTTCTTTGGTCTTCTCCTTCAAGCTTACATGACTATTTCCTGTTTTCTCTGATCATAGTATCCGTATGAACAACCTCTTTGGTTGTTACCCAGACACACATTTCTTGAGATGCTCTTTTTTCCCATGAGTGCAATGTTTTCCAGAACTCTTTTCTTTTTTCTAGTCGTTGCTAACTGGATTCTAACTACATATAAGTCCTATTCACTTCATGAAACCCAACTCTTTCATAAATCCGCCCCTACCCCCAGTCCTCCTCAGACTGGAATGCTTCTTTCCTGCTTCATACCCACAATTCCCTGGGCTTTCTTTTAGACTATCAAAGGTAGTTGATGCATTTATTTATTTACCTCTGTCCCATTCTACTAAAATGTAAACACCTTGAGAATAGGTACACGGGTTTGTCATTTGTATTTTCCTAGAATTTTGTGCAGTGTTTGTAACAGTATGGGTGCAAGTGCATCCGTTTTGAATGACGAATGAATGAATCAGGACATTGATTCCTTTTAACTAACTGCCCCATTTTAAAGAACAATTTTACAATGTAGCACTGTAGCACTGTCCTCCTGCTGTTCATTGATTTGCTCAAGTGGGCACCAGTAATGTCTCTATTGTGAGACTTTTTGTTACTGTGTTTGGCATATCCAATACCTCACGGATAACTTGCCAGGCTTTGTCGTGAGGGCGGGATACTCTTGGTAGCTTGCCGGGCAAGCTCTCCAAGAGGGACTGAAGAATTGAATCCAGGTCGACCATGTGCAAGGCAAATGCCCTACCTGCTGTGTTATTGCTCCATATTTTGTTTTTCTTTGATCTGCATAAAAATTGTATAAGGTTTGCTTAGGCAGATGTACAGTTATATAACAAAAAAAGTATTTTGACGGCCGTACCCAGTGCTGCTCAGTTGCTTCTTCTGACTCTGCTCCCGGGTAACTTTTAGCAGTGCTCAGGGCACCATGTAAGTGCTAGGGATAGAATCCAGAGCTCTCTCATGAAAAGTTTGTACGTAGCCTGTTGAGCTCTTTCTCTATGGTTCAAAGATTTTAAAGTAACATGGTATCTACATGTAAGTCAGGTGTTAAAGATTTTGTAATGCACTGTAGCACTGTAGCACTGTCGTCTGGTTGTTCATGGATTTGCTCGAGCGGGCACCAGTAATGTCTTCATTGTGAGACTTGTTGTTACTGTTTTTGGGATATCGAATACATCACGGAGAGCTTGCTAGGCTTTGCCATGTGGGCGAGATACTCTCGGGAGCTTGCCAGGCTCTCTGAGAGGTGTAATGCACTATTGTTCCTTAAATTTTAATTTGCCACTATGGATAAGTTCATTGTCTGCATTATTTTTTGTAATATAGAAAATTGTAGACGCCTTCTAGTGACTGAACTTGCTTGAATCTATGGTTTTTTTTTTGTTTGGGAAATGAGATTTTGTTCTTCATTAGAAATGTATGAAACATGTCTTATAATGAATGATTTTAAGGACATGATAGGTCTAAATTCTGGACAGCGGTAGCTTGCAAGTAGTTTCTTGTTTGTAACCTAGTCCCAGGTTAGGGCAA